TGGTGGTGGAGAACTGTAGACATATGGTGGTGGAGGAGACTTGTACTCAACCTTTGGAGAAGGTGAGTAATATGGTGGTGGTGGTGGAGAACTGTAGACGTATGGTGGAGGAGGAGACTTGTAGTCTACTTTAGGGGATGGTGAGTAGTATGGTGGTGGTGGTGGGGAGCTGTAGACATATGGTGGTGGAGGAGATTTGTAGTACACCTTAGGGGAAGGTGAGTAGTATGGTGGTGGGGGAGAGCTGTAAACATACGGTGGTGGGGGAGACTTGTAGTCTACTTTAGGGGATGGTGAATAATATGGTGGTGGTGGTGGGGAACTGTAGACATATGGTGGTGGAGGAGATTTGTAGTACACCTTAGGGGAAGGTGAGTAATACGGTGGTGGGGGAGAGCTGTAAACGTACGGTGGTGGAGGAGACTTGTAGGATACTTTAGGGGATGGAGAGTAGTAAGGTGGTGGTGGGGAACTGTAGACATATGGTGGTGGTGGAGATTTGTATATTTTCTTTGGTGATGGAGCATAACATGGAGGAGGTGGTGGACAAACACATACATGAGGATGTTGTGGAGCTTTGTATGGTACTTTAGGAGATGGTGAATAGTATGGTGGTGGTGGAGAAGTGTATACATATGGTGGTGGTGGAGACTTGTAGTGTACCTTAGGAGAAGGTGAGTAATATGGAGGTGGTGGAGAACTGTAAACATACGGTGGTGGAGGAGATTTGTAGTGTACCTTAGGAGAAGGTGAATAGGTTGGTGGTGGTGGAGAACTGTAGACATATGGTGGTGGTGGTGGAGAACTGTAGACATATGGTGGTGGTGGAGAACTGTAGACATATGGTGGTGGTGGAGACTTGTAGTGTACTTTAGGAGAAGGTGAGTAATATGGTGGTGGTGGGGAACTGTAAACATACGGTGGAGGAGGAGATTTGTAGTGTACCTTAGGAGAAGGTGAATAGTATGGTGGTGGTGGAGAGCTGTAGACATATGGTGGTGGTGGAGATTTGTAGTGTACCTTAGGGGAAGGTGA